TAATAAAAATAATAATGATAATAATAATAATAATATGTATAATTCTTTAACCAAAAATCCCGATTGCCAAGTAACTTTAAATTAAACGATAAAAAAATGAATTCCTCTTACCAAATATGGTAATAAAATTAAATGACATATTGTTTCGAGGATTGTTGCATTTCTCCCCCTTTTAAAATTCAACATCCTTGTTGACTCTCATATTCTCTAATCTTTTATTGACAATTCCTTAGATTTTCCATAGGTTCCCATGTAGCATCATATAATGGGTAACCTAACCATTTCACAAGGTACTGTGGCTTTTTACGAGTAACTCTTTTGTCCAAGATCATTTCAACTTCATATTCTTGATCATTATCTGCTGTAAAAACAGGTGGAGGTGGAATTTCCCTTTCAAATTCATCAGACTCTTTATATGGTTTAAGGAGTGAGACATGAAACACTGGATGAATTTTTAAATTTGCTGGTAATTCTAATTTATATGTTGTTTTTGATACTTCTGCTATTATCTTATATGGACCAATATACTTAGGACTAAGTTTTCTTGTAGGTCTTTCTTTATCTACAGGTGTGTTAATATTTTTTGTTGATAATAAGACTCTATCTCCTATTTTATATTCTACATGGCATTGATGTTGATTTGCATATTTAATTTGTTTTTCTTGTGCTAATATTAATGTATCTCTTGCTATTTTCATCATATTATTCCAACGATCTAAGAATTCATTCACAGTAGCAACTCTTGTTGAATTATTTGATAAAATTGTCACTGGGGTATTTGGATGATATCCACAATCAAGTTCAAATGGTGTGAAACCTGTGGAGACGTTCTTTGAATTATTGTATGCAAATTCTGCTGCAGGTAAGTATTCATCCCATTGGTCTTGATTGTATGTTGCATAAATTCTTAACATTTCTTCTAATGTATGATTTATTCTCTCTGTTTGTCCATCTGACTGAGGATGAAAAGCTGTAGACATTGACAACTTAGTACCTAATTGTTGAAAAAGTGTTTTCCAGAAATTGCTGGTAAATTTTGCATCTTGATCTGAAATGATCACTTTGGGTAATCCATGATTTTTAAAAATGACTGAAAAGAAAATTTTTGCAACTTCAGGGGCAGTAATAGTAGTATTAGCTGGATAAAAATGTGCTCGTTTTGTTAATTTGTCAACAAATTCTACAACTGCATCTTTTCCTTGACGTGTTGATGGAAGTTGAGTGATAAAATCCATAGTAACTTGTTCCCATCTTTGGTTTGGAATATATAAAGGTTGCAACAGTCCTGCAGGTGTTTGATTACTACTCTTATTACATTGGCATTCATTACAACTAAGTATATATTTACATATGTCTTTATTCATTTTAGGCCAACAAAAATTTCTCATAACTAATTCACATGTTTTATCAATTCCAAGATGACCAGCAATTTCAACATCATGATGTTCCTTTAAAATTTTTGTTTGTAAGGCTTTGTCAGCTGGGACTGCTAGTCTTTTTCCATATATTAAGTATATTTTACCATTTTGAAGCTCAAAATATTTAGCTCTTGCTTGTTGCTTTGCGTCACTATTTTCTAAATTATTTAAAATATTCCAGATAGGACCAAAATAATTATCATTTAAATAAGCTTCTTTCCAATTAATATGATTGTCCAATTGTGTAGAGATAATTGAAACATTAGCAAGATATGGTAAGCGAGAAAGAGCATCAGCAACTACATTAATCTTGCCTGGACAATATTTTACTTCAAAATCTATTGGTTGCAACAATTCTAACCACCTGGCTTGTCTTCGTGAGAGATTTGTTTGAGGTTTAATGAATTCAAGAGATGCATGATTAGTTATGACTGTAAATTTTTGTCCTTCCAGGTAAGTACGCCACAATTTTATAACATGAACAATAGCTAACAGTTCCTTTTCATGTTTAGGGTAATTTTGTTCAGCATTAGACAATTTATGAGACTCATATGCAACTGGTTGTTCACCCTTCCCTTGATTTTGACTTAACACTGCACCTATTGCAAAATCAGAAGCATCTGTTGTTAGAATAAAAGGCTTTGTAGGGTCTGGTATAAGCAAGACTGGAGCAGATGTCAACTGGTGTTTGAGTTGATCAAAAGCTTGTTGTTCTTTATCACCCCATTTAAATGATGATTCTTTTTGTAATAAATTGGTAAGAGGCGCAGCTACTGCAGAGAATCCTTTAACAAATTTTTGATAATAACTTGCTAAACCTAAAAAAGATCTAACATCAGAAACATTTTTAAGTGTAGGCCAATTTTTAATGATATCAATTTTTCGAGTGTCTACTGCTATTCCTTCCGATGAAATATAATGACCAAGGTATTCAACTTTCTTTTTAAAGAATTCACACTTATTAATCTTTGCATACAATTGATGCTTTCTAAGAATTCCCAAAACTAATCTAATATGTTGAAGATGTTCCCTTTTTGTATGACTATAGATTAAAATAACATCAAGATAAATGATAACAAACTGATCTAAATATTGTTTAAAAATATCATTCATGAGGGTCATGAATGTTGCAGGTGCATTAGTCAGTCCAAAAGGTAAAACCAAGAATTCATAATGTCCATAATGAGTTCTAAAAGCTGTTTTATGAATATCATCTTCTTTGATTCTAATTTGATGATATCCAGAGTACAGGTCTATTTTGGTAAAGTAATTGGCACCCACAAGTCTATCCATCAATTCATCAACTCTTGGCAATGGATATCGATTTTTAATTGTGATCTTGTTCAAAGCTCTATAGTCAATGCACAAACAAAGAGTTCCTTCCTTTTTGTGAACAAAAAGCACAGGTGATCCAAAAGGTGAGATACTAGGACGAATAAAACCTTTCTTTAAAAGATCTGCTAATTGTCTCTTTAACTCATTCATTTCATCAAAAGACATTCTATAAATTGGACGAGAAGGAGGTTCAGATCCAGGGATTAATTCAATTGCATGGTCAACATTTCGTTTTGGTGGTAGATGATCAGGTAAATTTTCAGGAAACACATCTGAAAATTCTTGAACAAGTGTTTTAACTTCTGGTACCATAGTAAAAAATTTTTCATCAGTTATATTAGCCAGGCAAACAGCAAATAATTCATCAGTAGAAGGTGTCTTGGCAAACTGTTGTCTTGAAATGAAAATAGAATGACAGCTGGATTCAACTTGTTTATTATTTACATCAGCAGGAACTACAATTGTCTTGGTGCCATATTGGAATGTAAGTGTGTTGGCTCTCCAATTGATGTTTGGATTAGCGTGATATAGCCAAGGTTTACCCAAAATGGCATCATATCGTTGTAAATTAATTACTTGAGCTGTAATGTCAGAGGTATGATAAGTTCCCAATTTTAACTCTTTTATATTGACGCTTTTATTTGTTTCAGATTTACTTCCATCTGCCAATTCTACAGATATTGATGGAACTTGCTTAGTAACAATGTTATTTCTTTGTGCAAATTCATGGTTAATGAAATTTCTAGATGCTCAGCTGTCAATCAAGATCCAAGCAGTATGACCGTTGATTTGTCCTTTGATTCTAAGTAAGCATTCATGGTCTTCTTCTATCTGAGTAAGTTCCATACTATTATGAGTAATTTGTTGTGATTGTTGTTGATGTGACTCTTCTATGTTTGTAAGTTTTGATTTAGGTTTATTACGACAAGTTCTTGCATAATGGCCTGGTTGTCCACATTTGAAACAGTTTCCCTTCAATGGTTTATGTGTGTGATTGCTACTAGTATTATAATTATTCGTTGATGATGATGTACCAGCATAATCTAATTCCATAGGTACAGGACCTCCATTTCCTCTCTGTGACCTAGGTGTGAAATGCTGATGTTGTGGCTGTTGAGATTTATTCACAAAAGGTCTATTAGTGCCAAACATTGCAGTGTCATAGCGTATAGCTAATGCCCAAGCTTCATCAAAAGTATTTGGAGACTGGTAAGCTACTTCCATTTGGGTTGCAGGTTCTAATCCTTCTGTGAAGTAAGTGATTTTATCAATTTCATTCATGTTTTCTATTTGTCCTATAATATTTCTGAATTGTGATCCATACTCCTGTACTGATCCTGTTTGTCTTAATCGTTTAAGTTGTTGTCGAAGATGGTGTTGGTAATTTGGAGGTTGAAAAGATTGACAAATGTCATTTACAAATGCATCCCAATCGTCAAAGGGAGCCTCATTTCCAGCAGCTACTACCTTATTAAGATACCAATGTAAAGTGGCAGCTTCTAGTCCTGTAGCAGCATAATTAATTCGTGCAGCATCATTAGTAATTCCTTGTGCTTTAAAAATGGATTGTGATCTTCTTCTATCTGAGTAAGTTCCATACTATTATGAGTAATTTGTTGTGATTGTTGTTGATGTGACTCTTCTATGTTTGTAAGTTTTGATTTAGGTTTATTATGACAAGTTCTTGCATAATGGCCTGGTTGTCCACATTTGAAACAGTTTCCCTTCAATGGTTTACGTGTGTGATTGTTACTACTATTATAATTATTCGTTGATGATGATGTATCAGCATAATCTAATTCCATAGGTACAGGACCTCCATTTCCTCTCTGTGGCCTAGGTGTGAAACGCTGATGTTGTGGCTGTTGAGATTTATTCACAAAAGGTCTATTAGTGCCAAACATTGCAGTGTCATAGCGTATAGCTAATGCCCAAGCTTCATCAAAAGTATTTGGAGACTGGTAAGCCACTTCCATTCGGGTTGCAGGTTTTAATCCTTCTGTGAAGTAAGTGACTTTATCAATTTCATTCATGTTTCTATTTGTCCTATAATATTTCTGAATTGTGATCCATACTCCTGTACTGATCCTGTTTGTCTTAATCGTTTAAGTTGTTGTCGAAGATGGTGTTGGTAATTTGGAGGTTGAAAAGATTGACGAATGTCATTTACAAATGCATCCCAATCGTCAAAGGGAGCCTCATTTCCAGCAGCTACTACCTTATTAAGATACCAATGTAAAGCGGCAGCTTCTAGTCCTGTAGCAGCATAATTAATTCATGTAGCATCATTAGTAATTCCTTGTGCTTTAAAAACGGATTGTACTTGTAGCAGCCAGGCTACTATATTCTCTTTAGGTTCTCCTTTATAACTAGGAATTTTAACACTAATTTTTGGATTGTTAGTACTAGGTGTATTTCCTCCTGTCTCCAAGGCATTTACCAAATTTTGTTGAGAAGTAGCCAATTGTTGTATGGCAGTCATCAAAACCGTGAATTGATCTGGTTGTTGGCCTTCCATCTTGTTCCTAAAATAATTATGCTAAAGTGTATGTGTAAGTATATGTGTATGTGAAAAATTTAGGTGTGTGTGTAAACGCGTTAATATCTTTGTAAAAAAATTTTGTGTAATGTCCGCTGCTACCAAGTTGTAAATGTTCAAATAATTATCACTTAATTATTTAAACAATGTTAATGAACAGATAATTTAATTGTTGTTAAATTAAAAAGTTATCTTTATTTTATTCGAATTTGATTCTTTAAATAATAAAATTACAATTCTTAAAATACAAATATAGATCATGAAAGAAATAAAGAAATAAATAAAATTATAATCTCTATATTGTATGGAAGCTTATAGACTTCCCGGAAAGTATTAATCTTAAAAGATAACATTCATAATAAATATAATATAATAATAATAATAAAAATAATAATAATATAATAATCATTATACACCATCGCCAAAACTCCTAATAAAAATATCAATAATTCAAGGAAAAATAATATTCATAATTCTTCGAAGTAAAACGCAATAATCCCGATTGCCAAATTAGTAATAGCGAATTTAAACAAAACAAATTTTTCTACATTACCAAATATGGTATAGATTAATTGCCTAATTACAACTAGAATTATTTTACCGATCAATCAAGATTAAAGATTGTTACATGATTTATAAATTAAACTAATTAAACCTAAAATGAAATATTTAAATCTATACCTATAATTATCTCTTTCATTATTTGCCCACTTAATATGTTCATTCCAATTATTAACTTTTTGTTCTTTTTCAGCTAAAGACCAAAAATTTGCATTAAATCTCATTTCTTTACATAAGGTACAAAGATCAGTTCGTGGTGAGAGGAATTGAATTTCAGGAAGATAACTCTTCCAAATTCTTACAAAGCTTGAATAACTAATATGATGTTCTGATCCAGTTCCAATATCATTTAAAAAATTTTCATGTATTTCTGTGTAGTTATCCCTTGTAGGTAAATAAATAATTGCTTTTGTAGCTCTTTCAAAATGGTGACCTAGAATAAAAAAGAATAAGATATTGATCAATGTTAAATAACACATATTTTAATTTTACCTGGTGATGGCAAACCATTCAAATTTGCATAACTTTTTAAAAAAGTAAGCACTTTTAATACTGTTTCAAAAGAGAGCTTATGAGAAACATTCCTTCCTCTATTCAAATGTACCTTTGGTACAATATCATTATTTTTATAGTGATTCTTTAAAGCAGTTAATCTATCATATGATAAATTATATAATTTTAAAAAAGCATTATTGCATATTGCTATACCATCAAACACAAAAGCCATTGTCATATAATCACTAGTTGAGGTTATTGAATTTCTGGTTGATGTTGAAATAATTCCCAAAAGAAACATATTCTGTTGATCTTTTAGTTAAATTAATATAATTTTGACAACGTAAAATAGCAACTTCTAAACATTTTTTATTACAACATTTTTTTTTAAGTATGTTTATAATATAATTTTTTGCTTCTTCATTTTTTCTATTTAATTTTTCTTTCTCAGCTTCCAATTCACTAATTTCTGACTCTTCAATTGGTTCATTATTGTAAATTTTTTCAAATTTTTTAATTTCTATTTCTG